AAATACTTATTCTATCTTATCCTAATTTTTCTCTAATTTATTGATTAACTTATCTAATCTGTGCGTGTGGGCCTCACCACTATCTTGGTTCTGCCCGCACACACTTTTGCCGCCGCACACACACACCGCAGTTTGGGGACTTCTGCTTTCTCTTACATAATTACAACTTCTCCTTCTCTATATCATCCCTTCCGCCCCTCTTCTCCTCTCCCCTCCTCGCCTCTCCTCTAATCCTCCTCCGCTAATCCCTTTTTTCTCCTCTCCTCTCCTCTAATTCCCCTCCTCTCCTCTCTTCTTCTCTTCTCTCCTCTCTTCTAATCCCCCTCTTCTCCTCTCCTCTTCACTCCTCTTCTCTCCTCTTTCCGTCATTCTTTTTCTACCTTTCTCATCCACCACTCCCCCCCTCCTCCTCTTCCTAACACCCATCCTCCTACCTCCAGCCAACTTCCTAGTTGCTTTCAAGAAAAAATATGTAGTTTGCAACATGCAACTACATACTTTTTTTTTAAACCAATGTGTTTTCTTTATACCAATTGATTTGTCTTATTATTTAATGCATAAAATTATTAAGGTAAGATTCCCTAAAATTGAATGTTTTACAAGATATTTTGTATTTTATGTCAAAATACTGTAATTTACAAGCCTCATAACTCGAAAAGTACTTAATAAAAAATAACTTCATTATAGTGTTTTGAAAAGCTCTTGACACTAGCTATTAGATTTTGGAATCAAAAATAGGGGTTTCCATTTAAAAAAATAACTCTGACCTTTAAATGACCTTGAAAATTGACTTCAAAGTCACTAGCATAAATAGGTGACCCCCATTGTCCTGAACAACTTTTGTCTGAACCATTTTTCTGTATTTGGCTTACTTACGGAGTTATTTGCGTGGATGGATTAAAATAGTCCACCCTGTATAGTATTATACATACATTTTTCAAATAAAATATTTTATCATATCTAATTTATATCTATTAGACACCTTGTATAAGTCTATTTCGTCTCGTATGTACATCATACAGCCATACGATAGAATTTCAATAGCGAGAAAAAAGATGAAATAACCTTATAAATTATCCGATAAAACAAAAAC